TCCCACATGCCTCTCATAATGTGGTTTTAGCCGATGAAAGTTCTTAACGGGTAATTTGTATGAAATCGAGTTTTGCATTGCATCATCAGTTCCAACAGCACGAGATTGGAATAATTCACTGATATCATAAAAAGGGTTGCATAAAACCGAGTTTTGCATTGCATCCATAAGTTCAAACAGCGTGAGATTAGAATAATTCATCGATATCAGAAAAAAAAAATGGAATCTTTGCTTCTTGCACCGAAAAAAAAAAGGCAATTTGAGAAGTAGCTTAATCATGGATTTCAGTTTGAAGCCTAAAGTCCTTTAATAGACATTATATATGAGTATATATAGCATTTGTTTTTGTATCGAGTTCGCATCGTATCACAAATAATTATCTTGTTATACCAGTACTGCTTTTATTTTAATGTGTCTTTGTGCCCTTGTTTTGCATTGAGTTTCAGACTGCATAGGTTCAGAGTTCAACGTTAAAAAGGTCATGCTGTGCCCAAATTGTCGTGTAACTGAGGAAGGCGAATGGCTCTTTGCTGCTGGAGGTTTCGAGCAAAGCATTTACAACGACGATGTTGATGATGACGACTTTTATTATCTTGAGGTAGTAAAAAACAAACATTTTTCTTAGTAACCCTTCCTTTTAAAATATTCATTTTAATGGTAACGAGATGAATTATAAATCTAGATGTCCTGAATTTAAAATTTGACAACTCTTTAGAACCATGCCACGAGAAATTTAACCCTCATAATTATTTTAATCTCAACGTGAATAGCCTTTGACCAAATCAAAAAGGAGATTAATCGAGGCGTGCGTACTCTAACCGAACATCCCTAACCGCTTTCACCAAAAAATTTTTTTGTTCCTTTTGCCTTTTCTCAACTTCTTTGCTCTTCTTCTGTGATATTCAAATTTTTCTGTACCATACCAAAAATTAAAATTTTGCTCTAATTTGAATGAATCGGAGTATAAATTTGACAATAGTTGTACTTTTGTCAACTTTTCCAACATATATTCAATATTTCGTATGGTGATACACGTGATTATTTACGTGTGATATTGTCAATTAATTATAAAACCACTTTATAGATCTAATAAAATCCACTTTCCAATTATATCCAATAACCACCCGATCTTATAATTAGTGTATTAAATTAATTACTTACAATTCATTATGATTATTAACTAGTTGGTTAAACTACGTGTCAACAATGACGTAATTGTTGTTGTTTGAGGTGTTTTAAAAATTGTAAAATTATTTATTGCTATATCTGATATCACGTAACTTAAAATAAAACAAACAGTAAATGTGAACTGTAAAACCGTAACACAAATCAAAACAGTTATAGTAAACACGAAAGAGTTACAACAAACAGATACACGTAACTCTATATCAAATTAATATAAAAACTAACCCGGTTGCAGAACAGGAACTGTTATTGAACTCGTAGTAGATCAAGGCTAGTGTTTGACATTATATCCTTAAAACAGATTTTGCCCCCACACACGGTGCTTATAGAATTCGAACGTCTGCCTCCCAGGATATAATGATCTTCCATGAACAAAAGTAGCACTTCAATCTGTTCGTATAGCGAACCAAAACTTGTGTCGTGTACTCTCCAAATGTATTGCCTTAAAATGCTGAAATGTAATACATTTAATGCCAAAAACAATCTGATTATTTGAATGAATAAAACGAATGCATGATTTGGATATTTATAGATGCATTGGTGACTTTCTGGATAGTCACCTTATTAAAGGACACAACCCATAAACTAAAATTGACTCAGCCAGTAGACACCTTGAAAATTTTGGACTGGAGCAAATCTGAACTATCAAACAGGTTTGAACTGGAGCAAATACCGAAATTAATTTCGGGTTAAGAAATTTATGCCCAATTAAATTAAATGAATTTTCTCCAAAAAGATAGAGCTTGGTCTAAAGCACACTTGCACCCGAGCCCCGCCTGGCCGGGTCGTGGCAAGGCGGGCGGCACGCGTGTGGTAGACCCAACGACATGTAGGTGCTCGCTCCGCTCATAAAATTGTGGTACCCCTTGGGGTCCAACCCATAGAGCAAACTTGAGTTATATATGCTCATGTTGAATTTCTTACTCAACTAATGTGGGATTGGTGTCAAACTTCACATTGCACATATTTTATTTTCACTCTTCAAAAGGGTCACTATGGTGCCTATTTTCTCATTTATTTCTTACTCGATTTGAGCAAGTGAATATTTCACGTTATACTCTTCACGGAGTAGAATATGAACCCACTAAAATTTATTCGAAATAACTAATGAATCCCACTTTAATTTAGGCTCAAAATTGACCAAAAATTTTATTTTTTACACTAAAAAACTGCTTTTGGTCTAACAATTGTGTGTGTGTCTACAAAAGCTTCCATTTTGTCCATGGCTATGCATTCAATAATTTGTGAGACAAATATTTCTTACTGCTTTTATGACATTTCTAAACGTGTTTCAGCAGCCCCCTGACGCTCGGTGGTGGAATTACAATGTATTCAATGGAGCTCCTTTTCCTTTAGGGTAAGTCTTATTTGTTAATTTTCTCACTCGGAAAAATATATTTTTTCAAATGGATTTCAATCTAGCAGTTGTAATTAATTAAATCTCTACATTAAGTTCAAGTAGTATTTTTCTTTCTTTTTTCATTTTTTTTTCTTTGGAGGGAAATAGGACTTATCATAAGTTCTACGAGTAGGATAACAAATCACCAATTGTTTGGGTTGACTGGGTCGCTTTCCTTATTCCAACCTAGGGCAAATCCTTATTCCTACTTTTAATAGGCTTTTTTCCTTTTTTTTAGCCTGTTAATTTTGGCCTCACCATTTCATAGAAGAGAAAGATCTTCTCCGTATAGGCGGCGGCGGCGGGTTTCGTTATTTATAAGTTTATATACAAGAATGTTAGCTACATAACATGATTCTTCTCCTTTATTCGGGTTTTGGTGCTTTATTGGGCTTGCAATAACTAGCTATTTATTAACTGTTGTAACAAGGAAATTGAAATTAAACTTAAATTTTAATTCAATTTCATTAAATAGCAACTCAATCTCATATATCACAATCGAAATTATATTTAGTATTATTTTTTTATGAAATATAATATATAATATATCATATTCGAATTCGTTCTTAGGATCTCAGATCATATTCGGGTCAAAATTCGATTAATTCACAAACCTTGATCCAAATTAAGCAAAGGACACTAAGTCACCTATTTCATTTTCCTAACACAATGTTGTTTAAAATTTGCAGGGATATGGTGGCACCCCCAAATAGGAGTAAGTTTCACTTTATTTTCTCAATCCCTTTAAGGGGAGATATTAATAATTCTTGCATTCAATTTTCTTCATGATCATGCTGATGGTGTAGCTTCAGACATTTTCACAGTTTCCGGCCGTCGGGATAACGGTTCCAGGGCGGCGCCTGGGTTTGCCGTGCCAGCCTACGTCCGTGATATTCGTCTCAATCAACACGGTTGGAATTTTCCACCAGCCACATTTGCTCCGATGAGCAACACTGTGCATCCGGCGTCCTTAGCGCACCCTTTCATCTTTGGTAATGGGTAAGATTCAATTAGTGTTGAATATCTGTTTTGGATAGGCAAACGAAACCACTTTTTTTTTTTTTTTTTTCTACGGAGCATCTCCAATTTTAACTATACATATATTGTAATGTACTCTCTCTCAGACAACTCATGTTGGTGTTTCTTCTAGCTTATCTCGTCCCGGCAACAATGGTCTACCTCATGGCAGAGCCCAAGTTCTTCAACAGCAACAACTCCCTAACTCACCATCACCCGTGGTACGTGCTTCAATGTTGGCACGCCAGAGGAGGAGCACTTCCGGTAACCCCGGGGTCATCAATGTGCCAGGACCTTCGTTATCGTCATCGCCATTATCATTGTCATTGTCATTATCATTGTCACCTAATTATCAGTCAGGTGGCTTCACCATGGTGCCAATATTGTCCGAGTTTATTAGGGATAATGGATTGAGTCGTGTCAAGTTGCCTCACACCTTTGGTGGCCATGATCATGGTAATTTACAGCAGGAGGAAGCAGATGAGGCTATTCCAATTGAGAATGAGAAAGATGATTCTAGCTACTTCATGTATAAGTTTCTTTGAAGCAAGTGGCTTTAATTTTATAAAAAAATAAACTAGTTGACTGATTATGTTCTTAGTATACAGTAATTTGAGTTTGGTATCGACAATTTATAAACTATTTTTTTATTGCCGCCCACCATGGGTTTGACCTTGTTTTTCTCAAATACATAGTGCATGATTTTGTTTTTGGATATTATTGTCAGAGGTGTTCTGATCAGTTCATGCGTATTTCGTTTAATTTTTTTTTTTGATACTGTTAAAGGCATGTCTACGTCGTGACTAAAAAATTTATAATTTTAATAAATTTCAAACTACTTGTATTGCATCATAGCTCTGACCTCTTTGTGCGACATATTGAATTTTCATCGTATTTTATCCAATTTCTATATTATAGAAACCAACCAACAAAAACCTTTTCCCAATTTTCTCCTATTTTGATAATTTTGAAACATCAAAATATCGGGAGGGAACCTTACCAATGAGTTTTCCCTTAATTTGATTGTTTTATATATAAAAAAAATATTTAATTTTAAATTGTGTAACTAAAAAAATAATAAATAAATAAATTATTAGTTAAAATATATATTATTTTATAATCAATATTTGATTTTTAGTATTTTATAAGTGAGTCCCGGCCCAAAATGTTGAGCAGTAAACTGGCCGAAGGTCGCCCCGGCCCATGACCAGCCACATTGCCATTATCCGGCGTGCTGGCTTAGGCGAAGGGAAACGGTGTCGTTGCGGGTGAGCAAAAAGTGTTTTTTTTGGTGTTAGAGCGGGAAGCCAAAAATTCAAGACGAGAGAGAGAGAGAGAGAGAGAGAGAGAGAGAGATTTACATACACACTGCGACCTCCGATTTCCGACCAAATCAACAATGGAGGAAGTTGTATACAGAATAGTCTCCGAATTCGAAATCCACCACTCTCTTCTCGAAAACCCAAATTCCTCAACACCCATTTCAGAATCAGTACTGTTGGACCTCCAAACCCTCCTAGATTACACCTCAAACACCAAGGACCCAATCGACATTGACTGTCTCTTCGACGAATTGTCCTCCAAAAACCTCTCTGTATCCATTCTCGTCCGTACAATTTCTTCAGCAATGGATTCTGGACCCACCCATATCGGTCTGTTGGCCTCAAAGGTATATTTGTCTCTTCTTCTTTGCCCAAATGCCCCTGTTTTCACGCTCTTCACTCCCATGGCTTTTCTCTCTCTTCTTCGCTCCATTCGCCGGTCCTTCAAGAAGCCGAACTCGGGCACAGTGGGCCATTTATCGTCTCAGCATCGGGCCAGGAGAAAAAAGGGTGGTGGGCGAGGCGGGCAGTTGAGAAATCGGAGTCAGAATGTTCAAGATGGTGAGAATGAGAGCGAAGAGAGGGTGTTTGATGTTAGGGTATTGTTTTCTGTGCTTGAAAGGTTAGAGCTTGTTCTGTGCTTGATTCATTTGGATCGGTTTCCGGATAGTTTGAAGAGTCTGGTTCAAGCTGTGGCTGAAATTCCGGTAATGGCGATTGAATTGTGTGGAAATTCGGGAAATTATGGCAAGTTATGTCATTTGTGTTCGCGGGTTTTAAGCGAAGTGTTAAAGGCTGAGCATGGAGATCAGTCTATTACCGCGGCTGAGGTTTTGAAGTCATTGTCTCCATCGATTCTATTCCTTAAATCACAAGCTCGGGATTTTGCTTTGGGGTTTATAGTGAATAAAATGATGGTTATGACAAAAGATTCTAGTGAAATCAAAAAAGCAATTGTGAATTTGCCCAAGTACTTGGTACAAAAGGCTCCGGAGAGGTCCGAGCCAAGGGCTTCAGCTGTGGAATCTATAATGGAGATTGTTAAAGTTATGGAATTTGGTGATCAAGTTGGCTTTGCTGAATATGTAGTTAAAATGAGCCAAGGAAAGGCACAACTTAGGCTCTTGGCTGTGGACCTTGTTCCAATGCTAATTATGTCACTCAGAGATCCATTGGGAGTGAATACGGAGAGTGGAGTCGAGAATTCATGGGGGTTGAGATGTTTGGAAGCCTTGATTCGGAGGTGTTCCGATGTAATAGCAGGGATTCGAGCCCGGGCTTTAACAACTTTGGCTCAGTGCGTGGGGTTTTTATCAGATGATGATAGGTCTCAAACTGTGTTGAAGGAAGTAATGGGATTTGGTAATGAGGGGACGAATAGTGTGGAAGGTGGAATTACTGATATTTTGAGGCAACGGTGTATGGATGAGAAGGCAGCCGTCAGGAAGGCTGCACTTCTTCTAGTATCAAAGCTGATGGCTCTTCTTGGAGGGGCACTTGATGGAGTTTTGCTAGCTGCAATGGGCATGGCTTGTTCTGATCCACTTGTTAGCATAAGGAAAGCAGCAGTTTCAGCTCTATCTGAGGTTAAATTACCTTTCAGCAATAGTTGTTGCCGTATCTGTTCCCATTAGTTGTAATTAGCTTTTTACTATGAAAATTGAACCAGATCAAATAGAATAGTGATGCCTTGTGACTCTTCTTACATATTCCTTTTTTAGAGCCAATAATTATCTATGATGCATACATACTAAGTATTTACTAATGCTATTTCTTTGGATAATTAGAATGGTACTGCATGGCTATGGCTATTTGGAAAATATTGGATAAAATTCTTGCTATCGCCAAATGAAATTCAACCACTCGATGTTTATCCCTTATGACCATCTTTTACCAGGCCTAGTCCTAATGATATCCACTGTCTGGAATAATAATCAGGGTTCAGGGCCATATATTCTTGCGGGGTAAGTTTAACACCTTTGGCATACCTGGCTCTGTTCTCAGTTGTATGGCGGATAATAAATGTCTGTGCAGCATGATTCCTATGAGATGTTTTTGTCCTAATATTCTTTTGTTGCCCCGTTGGATTATGTTTCAAAATTTTATATTTTATGTGTAATTGGATCCCTGCATTCCTCCATTTATGCATTCATCTTCATCCTGATCAGTTTTTGGATTGGCCACTCTGATTTATGCAGACAGATATTTCCATGCATTCCTCTATTTTATGCTGGATTTCTCTTTGGCTTTCAGGCCTTTAGGACATTCTCGTATGACAATGTGACAAAGGAGTGGCTACATTCTGTTCCACGTCTCATAAGTGACAATGAATCTAGCATTCAAGAAGAATGTGAGACAATGTTCCTAGAACTGGTTTTGGACAGGGTATCCAGAGCAGGATCTACTTATGTCCCACATGAAGAATCCGTATTTTCTGATCCAAATGGAAAACTAAAAGATTTAGAAAGCAAGATTGACTTATTATATCCTGAGGGAGTTTTGGGCTTATTGAAAGAGATCTGCGATGGAGAGGTGACACCTTGGGTGAAGAAGATTTGCACAAGCCTAGGGAAGAAGAAAAGGCTGAAGGCTAAAATTGCTACTGCACTTCAAAATATCATAAGAACGTCTGAATTTCTGTGGTTGAGCCATTCCATGCCAATAGAGAAGTGGACAGCACCTCCAGGTGCTTGGTTTCTTCTGTCAGAGGTGTCAGCATTCCTTTCAAAAGCCGTGGACTGGGAGTTCCTTCATCACCATTGGCAGCTCCTCGACAAGTATGGACCAGAAGGAGAGCTCAAAAGCCCACTTCAGAATGGTGATTTGGATGAAGAGGTGATGGGCATAGAATCCCATTCTGTTGCTTGGGCCGGAGATCGTGTCTTTCTACTGCAAACAATTTCTAATGTTTCTGTGGAGCTGCCTCCAGAACCTGCAGCAGATTTAGCCCATAACTTGCTCAAACGAATTGAGGAGTTTGACATGCATGCAACGGAGGTATTTGTTATGTTGTATCATAGTTTATCATCTAGATGTTTGCATTAATGCTTTTGTTGTTTTTCCTCTTCAATTTTTCTGTTCCAAACAGAATTCTTGATTTATTTATTACAGACTTAAAAAGTAAATCCATTTGGTAAGATGTCAAAAGATTTTGAAAAATCTCACGGTCCACAGAGGCAAATCTGTTCATGCAAATCTTTGGCATAATGGAGTTGTGGATCGTCTATCATTATGACAAGGAATAAATGTTTTTTTTTTTTTGCTTCTACTAAAAGCAACAGATGGCTTGCTTTAGAAAATGCATTGGTAAACGCACTTGTTTAGAAATTGTAAAACTATTGTTAATATGGATTTTATTGGCAGCTTTGGTGTAGTCACCTAGGAATGGGACTTTTAAGTGTCTTTTCCATTACTTTGAGAAGTAAAAGGAAATCATTGCGTGCGAAAAATGAATGCATTTGGCCTTAATGGGGTCATTTTTTACACTTAGTGGTGGAAGTTTTTCTGTAATTTTGGTTTGACTCCTTGCCCAACCTTGCACCTATGTCCTACATTGGTGTACCTAAGAGATTGTTGCTTATATAATCCTTTTTGACAGATGTTAACAATACATATACTTGATGACAGGTTAACGCCCATGTTAGAGCACTTAGAACATTGTGCAAGCGAAAGGCTTTGAATCCTGAGGAGGCTAATTCCCTTGTTATGAAGTGGGTAGGTCAGCTTCTCTCTAAAGCCACTGGGATTCTGGAAATGTACATGTCAAAGGACACAGAGGCATACAAAGACAGTAGCGTTCTTACACCTCTGAGTGGGACTAGGAAGGCCAAGAAAGCAGCAATAAAACTGCCCACCTTAGTATCACAAGCAATTACTGCAGTTTATACTATTGGATCTTTGGTTATTGTTTCTCCTTCAGCTGATCTAAAAACCATTATTCCAGTCCTACACACCATTATCACTTCTGGGAGTTCTGATCTAGAATTCTCTAATTTGCTAGGACCTGCTGTTTCTGTAAAGCAAAGAGTCCCTTCCTTGTATATTCAAGCTTGGCTAACTATGGGTAAGATCTGCCTTGCCGATGGAAAACTAGCAAAGCGTTATATTCCTCTGTTTGTGCAGGTATAATTTCAACTTGGCATTGCTTCTGGTCCATGGTTATGAGTTGCTTAACTAACAGATGATTGGACAAATTTCTGTTACTTTCATAACAATTTGATAAATTCATAAATGAATTGACATGGTCGTGGTAATGATCTTTTCTGGATCTTTATTTTTACATGTTTATTGCATAGTATGTAGTAACTCTTAGACATTGCAATCTGAAATCAATGTAATTAACAATGTAAATTGTATGATCACTTCCAATGTATTTTTTGGATTTTCAATTCAAATACCTTGTGAAGTTTGACATGAAGACCTAGTTCTCAATCTTAGTTTTCTTCTTGTTGATTTTCGATAATTTTTGTATTTAATATTCTCTCTATGCATGTGTTTCTTCAGGAGCTTGAAAAGAGTGACTGTGCAGCACTTCGGAATAATATTGTTGTAATGATGGCGGATTTTTGTGTACGGTATACTGCTCTGATTGATTGGTGAGGCCCATATATATATATATGCGATTGTTTATGAATTAGGACTGGATTTATATCATCTCTTTAATAGTATATTCTCAATATTGTACAGTTATATATCAAAGATCACAAAATGTCTTCGTGATCCATGTGAACTTGTTAGAAGGCAGACATTTATACTACTATCCAGATTATTACAGGTTCACTTTTTTTTATTCTTAAAATTATGGTACACTTCTATTTTCGGGGATCAGTAACATGGCAGAAACTTCTTTTGGTTGATTTTCTGCTCATATTCAGAGGGACTACGTGAAGTGGAGAGGAGTTCTTTTTCTTCGATTTCTATTGTCCCTTGTTGATGAATCAGAGAAAATTAGACAGTTAGCTGATTTCTTCTTTGGGAATATCTTGAAAGGTAGCAATGCTTTCACAAGTCATCTTTTGTGTTTTTTTGGACCTGCTCATCTTTTTTTGTTGTTAAGACCATTTTTTTGTAATGTGTTTGCAGCCAAGGCGCCCCTTCTAGCTTATAATAGTTTTGTGGAAGCAATTTTTGTATTGAATGATTGTAATGCCCATACTGGACATAGTAATACTCAGAGTTTGCGAACTGAAAACCAACTTTTCTCTCTCAGGTACATACGTTCCAGTCCTCTAAATATTAGGGTAACTGGTCTGTAACTGAAATGTAGGTGTCATACTTAGTTTACGATATTCTTTCAGAGGTAATGACGAGATGTCCAGGTCTAAAAGAATGCACATATATGTTTCATTGCTGAAACAAATGGCTCCAGAGCACCTTTTAGCGACATTTGCTAAGGTATGTGCAGAGATCCTTGCTTCTGCATCAGATGGTGCGCTCAGCATAGAGNGGTAGGTCAGCTTCTCTCTAAAGCCACTGGGATTCTGGAAATGTACATGTCAAAGGACACAGAGGCATACAAAGACAGTAGCGTTCTTACACCTCTGAGTGGGACTAGGAAGGCCAAGAAAGCAGCAATAAAACTGCCCACCTTAGTATCACAAGCAATTACTGCAGTTTATACTATTGGATCTTTGGTTATTGTTTCTCCTTCAGCTGATCTAAAAACCATTATTCCAGTCCTACACACCATTATCACTTCTGGGAGTTCTGATCTAGAATTCTCTAATTTGCTAGGACCTGCTGTTTCTGTAAAGCAAAGAGTCCCTTCCTTGTATATTCAAGCTTGGCTAACTATGGGTAAGATCTGCCTTGCCGATGGAAAACTAGCAAAGCGTTATATTCCTCTGTTTGTGCAGGTATAATTTCAACTTGGCATTGCTTCTGGTCCATGGTTATGAGTTGCTTAACTAACAGATGATTGGACAAATTTCTGTTACTTTCATAACAATTTGATAAATTCATAAATGAATTGACATGGTCGTGGTAATGATCTTTTCTGGATCTTTATTTTTACATGTTTATTGCATAGTATGTAGTAACTCTTAGACATTGCAATCTGAAATCAATGTAATTAACAATGTAAATTGTATGATCACTTCCAATGTATTTTTTGGATTTTCAATTCAAATACCTTGTGAAGTTTGACATGAAGACCTAGTTCTCAATCTTAGTTTTCTTCTTGTTGATTTTCGATAATTTTTGTATTTAATATTCTCTCTATGCATGTGTTTCTTCAGGAGCTTGAAAAGAGTGACTGTGCAGCACTTCGGAATAATATTGTTGTAATGATGGCGGATTTTTGTGTACGGTATACTGCTCTGATTGATTGGTGAGGCCCATATATATATATATGCGATTGTTTATGAATTAGGACTGGATTTATATCATCTCTTTAATAGTATATTCTCAATATTGTACAGTTATATATCAAAGATCACAAAATGTCTTCGTGATCCATGTGAACTTGTTAGAAGGCAGACATTTATACTACTATCCAGATTATTACAGGTTCACTTTTTTTTATTCTTAAAATTATGGTACACTTCTATTTTCGGGGATCAGTAACATGGCAGAAACTTCTTTTGGTTGATTTTCTGCTCATATTCAGAGGGACTACGTGAAGTGGAGAGGAGTTCTTTTTCTTCGATTTCTATTGTCCCTTGTTGATGAATCAGAGAAAATTAGACAGTTAGCTGATTTCTTCTTTGGGAATATCTTGAAAGGTAGCAATGCTTTCACAAGTCATCTTTTGTGTTTTTTTGGACCTGCTCATCTTTTTTTGTTGTTAAGACCATTTTTTTGTAATGTGTTTGCAGCCAAGGCGCCCCTTCTAGCTTATAATAGTTTTGTGGAAGCAATTTTTGTATTGAATGATTGTAATGCCCATACTGGACATAGTAATACTCAGAGTTTGCGAACTGAAAACCAACTTTTCTCTCTCAGGTACATACGTTCCAGTCCTCTAAATATTAGGGTAACTGGTCTGTAACTGAAATGTAGGTGTCATACTTAGTTTACGATATTCTTTCAGAGGTAATGACGAGATGTCCAGGTCTAAAAGAATGCACATATATGTTTCATTGCTGAAACAAATGGCTCCAGAGCACCTTTTAGCGACATTTGCTAAGGTATGTGCAGAGATCCTTGCTTCTGCATCAGATGGTGCGCTCAGCATAGAGGATACTACTGGAAAATCGGTTCTGCAGGTAATAATTCTCTCTCTCTCTCTCTCTCTCACACACACACACACACACATGCACACAGGCAAAATTGCTTATTAAGTTGAAGGATTTTAGCTCCATCAAAGTATGTTGCATAACAAGAGAAGGGTGCTGTCATCACTTGCTAGAAAGTGAAAGTACCAAAATGCTTGGTGTTTTCCCGGTAAATTGGTAGCCTTGCCCTCCATGTCCGGGACATTACAATTGGTTGCATGCAGGCCAGTGTAATTCCACATTTTTTTATTTGTTGCGTAGTATGGAAGCTAAAATTTCAAATGCTGTGCATAGTCTATTGAGTATATCCCCTTGTTGTGATACTCTCACTCTTCCCTCCTTTTTTCCCAAGCTAAGAAGCTTGTAGCTGTTACAAATGTGTTCCTTCATGTTAGTAATCTCTTTGTGGTTTAATATTGAGGAAACAGGATGCATTCCAAATTCTCTCTTGCAAAGAGATCCGAATTCCATCCAACCGTGGGTCTTCATCTGAATCAGCAGGCATGGATGAAGAAAGTGGAGAGAGTGGAGAAGCATCAGCTGCTAGAGGAAGAATCATAACTCAAGCTGTCAAAAAGGGCCTTATCCAAAACACCATCCCCATATTCATAGAGTTGAAACGGCTACTGGAGAGCAAAAACAGTCCCCTCACTGGTTCCCTTATGGAATGCCTCCGAGTCCTTCTCAAGGACTACAAGAATGAGATTGATGATATATTGGTTGCAGATAAGCAGCTCCAGAAAGAGCTCATTTACGACATGCAAAAGTATGATTCAATGAAAATGAAATCAACGGCTGCTGAGGCTGTTGCTACCATGCAAAGATCAGACACCTATCGTTCACCAGGTGAGCCTAAGGCTGTCAGTGGACGCAATTCACAAAATAAGTTCACAGAGAAGCTGCATGGCAGTTCAAAAGTGGCGTCAGCAATGGCAGATGCAGTGGCTGAAGCCACAGCTCGGTCTGTGCTCAGGGAAGTGAATCTGGGCGCATCAACACCCCCACTTTGTGCCATGAGTGTGCCCAAGCTCAAGCCTACAACGGGAAGAACACTTTCTCAAGGAGACCAGGCTGCTGCCGTGCTAGAATCTTTGAGGAGAAGACAATCTTTTGAGTCTGATGAAGAGTAACTATTACCTTTCGTGAACTGCTTAAAGGGCAAAGATAGGCTCTGAGGCCTTAAGATGGGAACAGACTCTGTACTGTATAATTTTGAACCTTATTTTGGCGAGAGATTTGGTGTCATTTTTCTTTATTGATAGTTGTTCGTATCTATACAAGTTTATTAGTAATATCGGAATAATGTTTTGTGCATCCAATGATTATTAGTCACTTATATATTCTTTTTATCTGCACACAAGAACAGTGATTAAGACTCAAAGATTACATCTGATTTCTATTTAATCTATAAACTACCAATTAAAATAATTAAGCCCTTAAACTTTAATTTCTATTTCATTTAAGTCCCCGGTTCAAATTTGCCAATAATCTTAAAGAAAAAGAGCCACGTGGGCATAATGTGATTATTTTTTTGACCAAGTTGACTTTAAAATTAAAATTTATGTATTAAAATTATATTTGTTAACTCATTTGATATAAATTTGAAATGTTTAATGCATCAAAATTATGCATATGACTAAGTCATTTGGATCCATGAACCCATTAACCGAATTCATTTGGACCCGTAGTCGGTAGTTAATTTGGGTCTATGCACAAAAACTCCTCTTCAAACGCAAAAGGTTAGATCTAGAAAAAGTGATCCAAAGAACAATTAGCGATAAATTTTGATATAGAGAGTTAATTGAAATTAGTCGGGAAGTTTGATCTTGAAATCGACGGTCAAAACTTTTTGGCCTCCAAATTTCTTAGAAATACAGCAAAACCCATTTACTTACTTATCGTGGCAGACAGTGGACTTGACTCTTGTTAAGGACATTCTCATCTCTCTCTCTCTCTCTCTCGGCCGCATTGGTCATCACATTTCGGTTCAGGTAAGCATGGTTTGATTTTTCAGCGAAAATTCACCTGACATGCGATCCTTTACAATTTGTTAGGCCTTAATTTACTTCGATTTTATGTGTATTTCTAATACATAATCATTGGTAGCTACTTGACAATTCGGTGGAACCCTAATTTATGTTGCTGTTTTTCTAAATTATAGGAACCAGATTGTCATACGAAACCGTAGATCTTGATTTCTCCTTCAGCTTGATGTCCTTGTTGATGAATTTGATGTGATTGGGTTTCGATTTTAATTGCTAAAAGCCGGATTTTGGAATTTTAGGGGTTGATTTTATCGAGCACTTCAATATTTGAAGTGGGTTTGTTGGATTTTGAAGTGGGTTTTGTGAAATCGTTATGGATAGTAACAAGGACGAGGCTTTAAGATGTATTGGCATTGCCAAAGAGGCAATTGCTTCGGGTAATAAGCAACGGGCACTCAAGTTCATTGGGATTGCACGTCGGCTTAACTATAGTTTGTCGATGGACGATCTTTTGGCTGCGTGTGAAAATCTAGATTCATCATCCTCTAGTCAGTCAATTGATGAAAAGACGGTAGATAATACTAGGAACGGGTCGGGTAAGTTCAAATTTGATGACGTTTCTAATGGAGAGCCACTTTATACCGAGGAACATGTGCAGTTGATTAGGAAAATTAAGAGAAATAAGGACTATTATGAGATCCTTGGTGTGGAAAAGGGTTGTTCGGTTGAGGAGATTAGGAAGGCCTATCGGAAACTGTCATTGAAAGTTCATCCAGACAAAAACAAGGCACCAGGGTCTGAGGAGGCATTTAAACAGGTTAGCAAGGCGTTCAAGTGCTTGAGTGATGATGAATCGAGGAGACAATACGATCAAACGGGTTTGGTTGATGAATTTGAGTACAACCAGCAGCATAATGTTAGGCGAAGGAGGAGGAGAACTGGACATGATTTGTTTGATGATGATTTTGATCCTGATGAGATATTCAGGGCATTCTTTGGCCAGGCAAACACGTTTCAGACGACTCATGTTTACAGGACTAGAGAAACAAATGGTCAACAGAGGGAAGATTTTGGTGGGACTGGGCTTAATTTGATGCTGCTTCTTCAGATATTACCGTTTTTGATAATTATCTTGCTTGCTTACCTGCCTTTTTCAGAACCGGATTATTCCTTGCAGAGGAATTATTCCTATCAGTTTCAGAAGATGACTGAGAACCATGGAGTGGAGTTTTATGTGAAATCGCCTGAATTTGATCAAAATTATCCCCTTGGAAGTCCTGCTAGAGCTAACATTGAGAACAATGTGATCAAGGATTACAAAAATATGCTTGGGCGCTATTGTCATGTAGAACTCCAGAGGCGACAATGGAGCAGAAACTTGCCAACACCTCACTGTGACAGGCTACAGAATTTTGGGGTAGCATGAAGGTTGGCTTAAATTTTCTTTTCTCATAAATGGGATGGATTTTTTTTTCTTTTTATAATATAGTTTGTGTTGTTAAGTTGTTTTGCTAACTTTTTCGTGGTGCAGAATATTGCCTGGTTGTGGATTCTTTTACCGATACTTTATGTACATTTTTAAAATTTTGTGATTTAAGTTTTTTTCTTCCACTGATGAAAAGTTTTTTTCCCTGATCCTCGTTGCACTGTATTGTAATTGTGAAAAGCTGAAATGAAAGCAAATATCACTGTTTAAAATCATATTCATAAATTCATTTCACCTTCTGAGAAAGGTGGTGATATGTCACTAATGAAGGTTTTGTGAATTTGAATACAATTGGCTGCTCCAGATGCTACCATGTTCTGCAGCCACAAAATAAATAATGGCTTAAGATATCCCAATCTCACGATGGTGAGCCTCAGCCAATTTCAAGAATGTAAATTGGCTGCAGAATGTGCGACTATGGATTTTTGTCCCTTCCAATATTTATCAGCTAAACTCAGCGAAATGCACACTCATCATGAATTATCAAGTACTTCTGGGCATTTTTACCAAATCCACTTCGCCTCAACTTGTTCAATGAAGGTTTTGTACTGTGGGTTATGATTGTGGTGATATTTGTATTTTAACCTATCTGCTCACACCTGTGTATTTGCTCAGTTACTGGATCACCATGCCTCCCATAGTTACCAGTTTTAACGATACTTTTATTTGTTTCTTTTGTTTAGGCAGGTTTTGGATAGAACCCCTTGGAGTTCTCAGGTGCATTTTCATTGCATGATTATGACCCTGGCAGACATTATTTTTTGAGCTCAAGGCAGTGGCTGGTAGATAACACAAAGTAGTCGAGTTCAGTTGCACATATATAACCAGGCATTAGCCTTTCTGGTGCTGGTGTGGACTTTTGGCCGCGCACCTGTCTGCCATGGTGATCAAGAACTGTCTAGAGGAGGATGTCGTTTCACTTTTCATTTGCGATAATGCATTATATTTTGGGGTTTGTCCTCATAGCTTATGTATTGATTGCTTAGCAAGCTCGGTGAACTATCATTAAAAACCGAATTAGTTTAGTTCATGATAAGATGAGCTCGTAGTTTTCTTGTATCTACTGCTTACGAGCTGTTTTCTTTCTTGTAGTTGGGTTGATGCCTAAAGCAAGGTGAGGATTTTGAGATGCATGAGCATCAAGACATGAATTTTTAGTATAATGTATGATTCAGTTCGAGCACTATGATGGCTGGATGAAGGCAACTATGGTCGAGTTCCATACTGTCATGACTATGACTGTCTATGAGTTGTGTAAGTATGCTGATTTTGATTCTTGTCTTAAATTTTTTTTTGGAATTCATGTTCGATCTATTTGTTAATATATTAAATTAGTGTCATTGATAAGCAGTAGTAAATTAGATTACTGTCGTGTTTAATCAAAGTTTATATCAATCTAAGTATATAGGGTTGATAGTTAAGCTGAGCTACTCATGTTTGAATAAGACTCGACTCAAGTTCGGATGAGCCATGCTTAAATAATTTTTTAAACTTATTTGGAAAATGAGTATTTTTAGATTCTATTTGAGCCCGTTTATATATAAAATTAGGAATAACTTGTGCTTATAGGCAGGGTACAATTAAAAAAAAAATTGAACACTGAACTCGGATGCGTACTAAGTTGAAAGCCTAAACTGCCTCTCTAACCTGTGCTTGAAGGCATTATGCAATTTTAGAAAATAAATAAATAAATAACATTGTTCTTGAATACGAAACAATCGAACACTAAACATAGACATGCATTAAGTTAGAGATGTCAAATGTGTCGGTTAAACAGTTATGTATCGGGTTAAATGGGTGACAGGTGAAAAATATATAAATTTGTACGACTCGTTTAACCCGTTTAATTTTAAAAAAATTATATTAACAAATTTTAATTTTTTTTTTTGCCAATTACATTTATCCCAAAAAAAAAGGTTTTTTAGTCAAATCTCATAAAAATAAGACTTGAAAGCCTAAAAAGATAAAGTAAGAAGTCATTATTTTTTATAGGTAACTCAACCTACTTTATCTTCCCTCATTTTTCAATGTGGGACAAATAAGACTTGAAGATTTAAAAAAAAAAAAAAGTAAGAGGTCATTACTTTTTATATGCAACTCAATTTTTCTCATCTCCCCTCATTTTTCAATGTGGGACAAATAAAATTTGAAGGCTTAAAAAAAAAACGAGAGGTCATTGTTTTTTATAGGCAACTCAATCCTCCTCATTTCTCCTCATTTTTTAATGTGGAACAAATAACATTTGCCTTTGTCTTTGAAGTGTTCCTTATCTCCTCTTTTTTGTTTTTGAACTATTATTTTACTTCTTTTTTTCTTACTAATTTTTTTAAATAAATATTAATTTATTATTATATTAATTTTATTTAAAGGACTAAACGTGTAATAAACGGTTTGACAGGTCTCACCCGAACACGGCTTATTTATTAAACGTGTTTAGTGTGTCAACCCATTTATCACTCAAATCTGTTAAATTTTTACCCAAATTCACTTAATTCGTGTCGGTTAATCGTGTCGTGTCAAATTTTGACAGTCGTACATTAAGTTGAAAGTTTAGACTATAAACCCCACAAGACATTCCTTAAGTTTAATTGGATCAATCAAATCAATTTGTGCTTGTACAAAAGATCAAGTAAAATGGATGAGGTTGAAAAATAAACATACTCTTTTTATGCATCTAAAGTAACTTAAAACTATTCTTTCATACATGAATAGAACCATAACAAATGCACCATATAAATACTCGAAAAAGTGACATCCCAAACATAAAATTGTGTGGTACAACCACTTTCTCAAAAATTTAGAAACATTCTATAAAATTTTCATTCTCAAGCAATTATCATCACACAACAAAATGACATATATTATTTTTAAATCAATGTCTACTCCAATAAATCAACAAAATTCACATTACAATTACGTAAGAATTACTATCAGAGAGAAAGTTTTTACTCTCCACAACCTCTATAATAATCTCTGATAGACCTGAATTTGCACAACATTAATCGAATTAGTAATTCATTCAATATTAATTGTTCCAAAAAAAAAATGTCAATCCCAAATCTCAAAATGCATAAAGGAGATGAAATTCATGAAATTTTCATGCAAATCAATTTGGGAGAACGAATGAGGGTTATTATTTGGGTGCAATTACCAAACCCAATTACTTCAAATATTAACCAAATGAAGTATCAAAATTATGCACAATTACAAGATTTGTCTCTAGCACATTGTTTCCTAAAGATACATAGTAAGAGAGAAAAAAATATGTTCCAAATCAATGTTAATTAAAAACGTAATTGAATAATTCATATATTCAAGATTGGATTGAATATATAAAACTTAAACCCTAGACTTAAATTTTTGTAAAAAAATAAATAGTATCTAAGCAAAGGCAAAAATTTATACATAATCAAAAAAAAAATCGGGGACATATTTCCTAGCAATCATAGAGAGCATGAAACAATAAAAACAAAACCATGATTCGGCTACAGAAACTCAATTACTCTCTCTCCCTCTATCTCGTCCCAATTTTTTCTCACCATTACTCTCTCTCCTTGTTTTCTCTCTCTCTTTTTATTTACATTAACGTTACAACAACACAATTACATTAATCAGTTATATCAATCAGTTATAATTATTTTATAATACACCAAATAGTTACTCGTGTGTTCTAATAAACCAAACAGTTATATCAAACAATTATACAAAATTATAATACCAACTCAATTTGTCAAATTTGGTATAATGGTAATTTTTTTGTGTAATGTTAAACCCAATTTGGTGTATATAATTAGTGTAACAATATCGTGATACTAAATTATGTAACTCTTTAATTTTTGTAATTAGTGAAACTATTTAATTTATTAGAACACATGAGTAATTGTTTGATATATTCTAGAGTAATTATAACTAATTGTTATAACTGATTAATGTAATTGTGTTGTTGTAACGTCAATATAAAGAGAGAGAATAAGGAAAGAAAGAGTAACGATAAGAGAAAACAAGAAGAGAGAGAAAAAAAAAATAAGGGAGAGAGATGAAAAAATTAAATAAATTTTTTATATATTTTAAAAAAATAAATTATCATTGTAAAAGAGAGAAATAAGGAAGAGATAGTAATGGAGAGAGAATAATAAATGGTCTTTTAGTCTTTTTTTCAAAAAAAAAAATGCACTTAGAGCTAAATAAGTTTTTTTAGTTTAGTTTAACTCAATTAAATCTAAATTTTTATACTGACTTTTAAATTTCTCTTTTTTTTTAAGGGAGAATTACACTCAAACCTCCTAAGGTTTGTCACTTAATCACTCAAACCCTCTGACATTTAAAATATTATACACAGATTTTTTGAGGTTTATATGCGCGTAACACTTAGATCCTTAATGTAAATATATCCGTTAATAAATTACACTTAAACCCCTTTGAAGTTTGTAAGTATATAAAATTTAGACCCCTTAAGTTTAAAATATTATACTTAAATAAAAAATATTTCAATCAAAGATAAAATATCAAAAATTTTATAACCAAAATTCATGTTCTATTATGTCATTTATTGAAATAAAATCAAAAATAAAAATTTAGGTTTTTAAAAAAAATCATAATTAATATATAATTATACTATTCAATAGACAATATAATTGTATACTAATTACGATTTTTTAAGAAAAAATTAAAATTAAAATTTGATTTTATTTCAATAAATGATACAATATAACATGAATTTTAATTGTAAATTTTAAAAATATTTGATATTTTATTTTTAATTGAAATATTTTTGGTCTAAGTATAATATTTTAAACTTAAGGGGTCTACATAATATATGTTTCCAAAGTTTAGAGGGTCTGCGTGTAATTTATTAACAGATATATTTATAGCAAGGTTTAAGTGTTACCCATGTACAAATTTTAAAAAGTCTGTGTATAATATTTTAAATGTTAGAGGTCTGAGTGATTAAGTGAAAAATCTCAGAAAATTTAGGTGTAATTTTTTTTTTATTTAAAAAAAGTGTATGCAGCCTATTTTGGGATCAAGACTAATCCTATGGTTAGTAGAGTATCTCTTTCAACAGTTTAGACTTTTGAGTAATTTAAGGTCTTGATGATTGCAGCTTAACCAACAGACCAGGTCTAGACTCTTGGGCATTGACATTCCAAAATTATAATATTATGTCAAAAAAAAGGCCAAGGTTAGCGGATGCGTAATGACGACCACCCCGACGACCACCCCGCTCTGATTTGGGACAAAGGCATGCGCATATAACACACAATAATTCACACATCAAAATTACTCGAGCACACTGACCAAGAGAGGAACCCACCTACCAAATCCTCTTAAGAAGAGGAATTGAGAATAGGCCACTTAAACTCTAATCTTTAGTACTGATCAAGCGATGTGAGACGCACTTTGTTGTTTTTGGACAAAAGCATGCACATATAACATACAATAGTCCACACACCAACACTACTCAAGCGATGACCACCCCGCTCTTGGATCTTACCATCGTGTGCTTGAACTTCGTCATCCTCCTTGCTATGTAATTAATAGTGTCGGACAAAAAAACAAAAGAAAAATGGTGGCCTTGATCTGAACCCTTCTTGGTTTTTGGCTAGGCGATCTGAACCCGCCCTTGTAAGTATCAGCATGCTGCAATTCGAATCTGGGTCAGGTGTAAAATTTAAAAAAAATCCACATGGCAACTGATGAACTGTAGACTCACCTAACTTCATTGACTGTGCAACACTGATTGCAATAATTTATTAAGAGTAAATCAGTAATATAAACGGATTTGAAAAATTGATTTAATTTGATCATCTAACAATTTGGGTGACATAATTTATTCAATAATGTTGTTATGACAGTCAGTTTTAAACTTATTTATTGATTAAATTAATAAATTAAATCAATTTTTTTAAATTCAAATAGTATCATTTGTTTTTTTTTTCTTTGTTGGTTTAAAAAAAGGATGGGGGCAAAAGAAAAACATTCAGAGATCACTTTAATAGGCTCTCACTGGTGAGATTATGAGACCTCTGACCATGTCTGTTACTCCTTTCGAAAAAGAACTTAATTAAGTTAGTATAACGGTTAACTACTGAGTCGTAATATAAACTACAAGATTCGAACTTCCAACCTTAGAGTGAAAAATTCATCTAATACCCCACTAAACCATCTCACATTTGTTAAATTTAACATAAAACAAATATGATCTATGAAACTCTTAGACATGGTTAAGTGATTAAGTTTGTTTTTTAGTAAACAAGATATGTAGATTCGATACTTTACACAGTCTTTAAGGGTCTACCATTTTTATTTTTCTAAGAACTTGTCTTAAACTAGTTCAAATTATACTGATTATTTCAGAGTTTGAGCGAGCAATCAACACAAATTTAAACACCATCAAAAAATATATAAATATATAAATTTTTTATTTTTTATTTTAATTTTAAAACAATTACAACACGTCTACTTAAAAATAGGATTGACATAGTGTCCATATAACTCGCACACAGCCAAAGGCTATCCGGAATATGTGATCTATGAAAAGGGATAAAAATGTAACAAAACAGGCCACGTGCAGCGTTGAAGAGAACAGGAACAAATTAGAACCACAAATCAAAACTCAACAACAGACACGACAAAAACCAGACCAAAAAAAAAAAAGAAACAAATTTACGAGCTGCCAGGGCCGAGACAAACACCACTCCGCCACGGGCAACCGGCGGTCCTCGGTGTTGGTGGCGGACTATAACCACCTTTCCAAGTTCAAATGGAGATCTGGGATATGCCTAGTGGCTACAATGCAATTATACAAACCCTACTCCATTTCCGATCTAAAGTTGAAAATTTCAACACGCACGGTCTCAATGATGATTCAATACCCTCAAAATCTCAAAAACTCATATGCCAACCACTCTTCTGGGTATTTCTGTATATTACAATCACCTCAATGTTAATACATCAAACTCTCTCTCTCTCTCTCTCTCTCTTTGCGTTCGTACCACACTACACCCAGTATATATATGTATAGTGCACATGNTCAAAAACTCATATGCCAACCACTCTTCTGGGTATTTCTGTATATTACAATCACCTCCATGTTAATACATCAAACTCTCTCTCTCTCTCTCTCTCTGCGTTCGTACCACACTACACCCAGTATATATATGTATAGTACACATANCTCTCTCTCTCTCTTTGCGTTCGTACCACACTACACCCAGTATATATATGTATAGTGCACATGAAAAACAAAAGAAAACAGAGCACAGTCAACAAACAGTACAGCCATTATTCCTCAGACTCGTCATCCCCGCCGCCGAAGATGGAGACCCGGTAGTAGAGAAGGAACAGAACGAGAATAAGCACGAGAGCGACGCCGACGGGTGACCCAATGGAGTTGGGCTCGCCGGTGGAGAAGATGCCGGAGATGAAAGATCCCCTATCAGAAGAGAGGAATTGGATGGTGAGGAGGAGGGCTATGGGAAGTAGGAAGAGACCCACTGGACTCAGAAGCTCAGCTATGAATTCAGCTATGAATTCGGTTATGGCTGCACCTTGGTCGCCCAGTAGTGTCGGACCCACCAACACTAGCACCACCACCACCGCCAAGAGGACGCCGTAGGGAGCCCCTCGCCGTTCTTCAATCATTGTTTAGGTTTTGTGGATGAAAGTGTTTTGTGTGTTCGATGTGTTTTTTTTCACATCTGAAATGAGCGGAGATGGTTTTGGTTTGGTTTGGTTTGGTTTGATTTTGGTGTTAGCGTTATAATATAGGGGTTTGGACGTGCTTTGAAAATAATTATGGGTTTAAAAATGGTAATTAATCTCACCAATGATGTACATACATAGCATAGGGGACGACGAAGAGAGAGAAAAATAACTTATTTTAGGCACATGTACGTACGTTTACCGACGGAGCTAAAACGCTAAATATACATTTTTTTATTTTTTTTAGTTGGAGTGTCCTAGTCAGTTACCTACACTGATTTCATCTCTCATTCTCAATTTGGTTAAAGAAACGTTTGAAATTAAAATATTTATGAATGATAAATTTTTCGTAGTTTAATTTAAAAGAATTGTCAAAATTCAAAGTAAAAACGTATGAATTCGCAGTTTATTTTTATTACTACTTAAAATATCACCGATGATTTTAAGTTGTTTGATTTTTGACGATAAAATTTTCGTATAAATATCTTCAACATAGCTCATGTGATAGGCACATGGGCAAAGTTTGGGCAATTTGAATCTTCAGCCATGGATGGGTGGTAGTGTCTTCAACCCAAAAAAACATATATGGTTTGTTCAAAATGCTTGGGCATTTATAAAATTGATCCCAATAAATACTTAAGTCACATTATCTTTAATAGATTAAAATTTTAGAATAAATAATCGTTTAATATAATATCCGAGCAAAAAAGTCTGTATTCAAATCTAACCATCACTCCAATAATTAAAAGATTTTTACGTACTAACCTCAAAATCTAATATGTAAGTAAAGGAACGTGTCAAAGTATAAATACCTAAATTTATGATATGCTTCATTTGTTATCATACACTAAGAGTGAGTTTAGAGAGTGAAGTCTCAAGGAAGTTGAGATACCCAATATTTCCCTTGAATTCTTTTAATTCTAGTCCTATCCTTGGCCCAATGGTAATTTTATATAGGATCCATTTCAATGTAGATCCAATTTTTTTTCTATTATATTATATTTGATCTCTGATCAGCAACCTTAATTTCAAAGCAATAATGTTATTCATACTAAATTTATTGATCTAATTTGTTGACATAATACACTCAATAATTGAATTGACTGCAAACTCCATCTAAATTGAAATTCTTTGCTAATTCAACAACTACAATGAATTATGCCAATAAATTTGATGAACGAATTAGATTGAAGTAGCACTACTCATGCCAAAGGTTGAAAGATCCACCCTAGTTTGTTATCAAGCACAATGCAACTTTTTCATTTGGTCCAAATATGATGATGATGTTACAAAGTGAGATTAATATGTCAATCCAGTGGATAAGAACTCGCTTGGTGCACGAATGGTGAGGGTCTAGATCGCATGGGATGGGATTCAGTTCTTCTCTATTACACTTTAAATAAAGAGTAATGTTATACTTACCAAAATTTTTACCAAAAAAGTGTTTTTATCAAATGAGCTGATAACTTCATATCCAATCAAAAACAATTTTGATCAGCATTTGGTGGGTCCAAGAGTGATCTGGAGGTGTCAACTCATTTGATAAAAATATTTTTTTGTAAACATTTTGGTATGCATTGCATTTCCCTTAAAATACATAATAAATCATGCACACACTGTGTATAGGTAAAGACACACTTATAAGTAGCGTGTTTTACCTACATCAATGGTATGTGATTGAAATTGAGAAAGTGTAATGAAAAAGATCTTAATCGCACGAAATAGAAATAACTAGAAGGAGATACCCCTATTGAATGGATAGGGGAAAAACTAACAGAAATNAGCAAATATTATTGGAAGACAACACATGTTTCATAAGCAACATTATGCATTACTATCGTAAAGGAAGTACAGATTGACAATATCCTTCCAAATTTGCAAAAAATCAAATGTTGATTCATTTGGGAACAACAAAAGGAGCTTAGCATTAAATCATATCAAACCCTCATAAAAATGAGATTGCACAACTTAACCAATATTTGCAACTCCAATAGGTTTATGATAAATTCCCAATAGGTTTATGATAAATTCAAGAATTAAAGATGAACAACATCTCCACCTTCCCCTTTTGCCTTTTGTGCAGCTGCTCTTATTTGACGCTGCTCCTCTTTATATACCCGGTTCCTTCGTTGGTACTGCCAAAGAATTTCAAGATTACCTCTTAGACATCAGAATATATAATAAAATGTGTTCCAGCAGCAATGACATTAATCACAACCAATGCTCACCATTCCTTAACCTACATACAGTNTTTCTGCTCTCGACAATTACAAGATTCAAGTATGAGTTACCCTTATTTGATAAGAAGAATACTGTTTGGACCTATTCAATTACTGTTGAATTAAAAGTGACTTTCATCAAACATTGGAACTCATAATCAAACTAATGACTACATTGAATTAGATCCCTGATTAGGTCTCCAAATTAAGTCCCTCTAGCATTACTCATTCCACTAATGAAACTGCCCCATTGCATCCATTAATCAACTACTTGTGACAAGATGATTCTATGTCACTAACAGGAACAAAAAACAACAGTAGAATTACTTATGATGAGACNATGGCCAGGGTGATGCATATGGGATTGTAAATGTGTGAGAAAAAGTTAGATGGCTTTAGTCAACAAAGCTAATGGAGGAGTTGTTGATTTTAGGTGTCATGATTGGGAGACACCAATACAAGGGTGACCAGGCAGTGGCCCTTTATTTGATAAGTCATTTTTCTGCTCTCGACAATTACAAGATTCAAGTATGAGTTACCCTTCTTTGATAAGAAGAATACTGTTTGGACCTATTCAATTACCGTTGAATTAAAAGTGAATTTCATCAAACATTAGAACTCATAATCAAACCAATGACTACATTGAATTAGATCCCTGATTAGGTCTCCAAATTAAGTCCCTCTAGCATTACTCATTCCGCTAATGAAACTGCCCCATTGCATCCATTAATCAACTACTTGTGACGAGATGATTCTATGTCACTAACAGGAACAAAAAACAACAGTAGAATTACTTGTGATGAGAGTTTCTACGCTACGAACAATAACAAAAAACCAGCCGGTGGCTATCACCCCGTGCATCATCAAAATATGAGAAGATCAAGCTACCAAAAATTTCATGTTTCAAAGACAAGATCTAACCTTGCAGCCAAGGCTTCGAAGATGACTTTTTAGCTTGAGTTACTACTATTCACTGCCAGAGACTGGACAAGTGCGCACATGCATGGCATAATCAGACTCAAGTTCTGCTTGGAGAAATCTTCAGGTGCGACCAGGGAAAGGGGATTCCATCCTTGTATTGATCGTAGATGAGACAGGAGATTTCACTNAGCGTGTTTTACCTACATCAATGGTATGTGATTGAAATTGAGAAAGTGTAATGAAAAGGATCTTAATCGCACGAAATAGAAATAACTAGAAGGAGATACCCCTATTGAATGGATAGGGGAAAAACTAACAGAAAANCCGTGCATCATCAAAATATGAGAAGATCAAGCTACCAAAAATTTCATGTTTCAAAGATAACATCGAACCTTGCAGCCAAGTCTTCGAAGATGACTTGTTAGCTTGAGTAACTACTATTCACTGCCAGAGACTGGACAAGTGCGCGCATGCATGGCATAATCAGACTCAAGTTCTGCTTGGAGAAATCTTCAGGTGCGACCAGAGAAAGGGGATTCCATCCTTGTATTGATCGTAGATGAGACAGGAGATTTCACTTGAATGACCCAACAATCACCTGCACAACGGTTTCTTCACACAGCCTTACTCAGACAGTCAGACTAACTACACAATAAAAGTTCGTCTACATTTCAATAAACACATTTTTCTTCTTTTCAAATCAATATGATTTTCACTGTGGCCAAAGCTACTTACCACTCAAAAACTCCTTGCCCAAGGTAACATATAACATCAACACAACTGAAATACACTGCTGAAATGCAGAGTAGATTGCAAGAACCAGAGCTTTGTTGTTCACTAACTATGAACAAGTGATAGAAATGCAGCAAATATTATTGGAAGACAACACATGTTTCATAAGCAACATTATGCATTACTATCATAAAGGAAGTACAGATTGACAATATCCTTCCAAATTTGCAAAAAATCAAATGTTGATTCATTTGGGAACAACAAAAGGAGCTTAGCATTAAATCATATCAAACCCTCATAAAAATGAGATTGCACAACTTAACCAATATTTGCAACTCCAATAGGTTTATGATAAATTCCCAATAGGTTTATGATAAATTCAAGAATTAAAGATGAACAACATCTCCACCTTCCCCTTTTGCCTTTTGTGCAGCTGCTCTTATTTGACGCTGCTCCTCTTTATATACCCGGTTCCTTCGTTGGTACTGCCAAAGAATTTCAAGATTACCTCTTAGACATCAGAATATGTAATAAAATGTGTTCCAGCAGCAATGACATTAATCACAACCAATGCTCACCATTCCTTAACCTACATACAGCGACGGGCTATGAATTTCAGCAAGATGCCGTTGGATTTAATGGTTGAATTAGTATATCACAATCTTAGTAACAACTCAACAGAGGTTAAGTCTAACTATAAACTGCAGCTCCGCCTTTCACATCTGCGGCTACAACCAAGTGGCTTCACGAACCACAGCATCTCAGGATACATGGAACCATTTCAAACAACACTTATCTCATCAGAATATATAATCAGTTAATCACCAACTTCTTGACAACTGCATTTCATTGCCAACCTCAAAGTTGCTATCATTGCCACTATCTTAGCTAAGAACTAAGCAATAGGAATATTGCCTCATGATTGCCAGCATTTTGTATCACAAAGAATAGCTGCCTTTACATTCTTAGAATGTGTATGGAAGCTTGGAATGGAATCCACATGTTCGAGTTGGAATTGGACTCGGAGTCCACATTCTTCAATTCATAGACCAGTTTTTCTTCAATTCCTCCCCAGGGCATAAAATCCATATATTTTTCTCTTCAATTCAAGGGAGTGCAGATCAATCATATTACATAAATATTTTTGGTTTAAGCAAAATATGCTAGAAATCTTATGCCAAAGTCTCTGTTTCTATATAAACATATTAAATTTCTGCACTTGATAAACAAGAATGACTATAGTAATTGAATGCAAAGTATATTACCCAGTTAGACAAATTGGCAGCCCTCATATTAAAATCCCACATCAATTTTCATAAACAATAAATTGGGTGCATTTTAGCACAAAATTAGGGTAAATTCATTAAAATATCACAAGAGATGAAATCATATTAGGTGTGAATTTCCTCAAACAGATACACCCCCTACAAATCAGGGTTCTATAGAGTCAAATCATACGCTGTGTGTTTGTGTGTGTGTGAGAGAGAGAGAGAGAGAGGCTGACCTCTTTGGCGTGGTGAAGGCATTCAAGATAGTCTTCACGGAGAAGAGAACAGTCCTTGGGCTCTCGGCATCCAGACATGCACTCGCTGAAATCCATCCAAAAATCGTAGCATCTTCCTTTGTTCCCTGTGATTCCCCACCCCGATGCCATCTCTCTCTCTCTCTCTCTCTCTCTCTCTCACACACACACACACACACAGAGCTGAGTTTTGAATCGAAGATGACCAGTTAAGCTTACGGGTTGGGTTGGGCTAGCGATTGATACAGGTGGCCCACACAGTATTGAGTCCACGTAAAAAATGTTTGGGCTGCATTTCAAAGACAGAACATCTAGACTAGTGGGTTCGATTGCTTACAATTGGTCTCGACCCGACATGAAACGCAGCGTCAAGTTCATTCATGCGAGGGTACACTACACATGCACCTCATGCATTTGCGTTACTTATGAAATTTTTTCTGTTTGTTTCCGGAGAAAATTGAGGGGAAAAAAGAAAAAAACATTGAATGTTGAAATTAGAGAATATTGGTCTTCTTTAAGTCACTCGTTTTATAACTAAGTAGACTCAATATAACACGATTAATAAACAAATTTGATATAGTTAAAACCAATCAACAAAAATACACGATACGACTTATTTATATATCAATTATACATGATTTATATACAATACTAATCTGATATAACATGATTTGTTAGATATGAATTAATAAACAAATCGAGAATTAATATTNATCTGATATAACATGATTTGTTAGATATGAATTAATAAATAAATCGAGAATTAATATAGTGTTTTTTGGACAGGCCTAATTTTCCACCTAGGTTGCTCAGCAGTGGAATGGGTTTTGTTTTGTTTACATAATAATACAATTTTGCAAATTTATTACATATTTTATGCAATTCTGGTTAATTTTTTGGGCATAGTTGTTGGAAATCATGGGCCTAGAGTTATAGATTTTTAATTTCTGCCTACAAATAAATTGTAAACTTGTTGAGATTCTTACGGAGTCAAATAACAGTTCTGAATATAATTTCTGCATATGCCTATGAATGTATAATTTTCTCCGAACTCCTGTTAGTTTTTATTGATTGTTCATAGACCTGTACGAGTTACAATAATGATAAAAATTCTAATATTCAAACATTCATTTCCATTGATTTCCAAACCAGGTTGAATGCTCGAACGCTTGCAGTAGCTGCATTAGCAGGGGGCGACAGTTGTGGAGTACTATGAGCACAGGACGGGGACAAAGGCAAAGCGCGTTGCCAACTCCTTCAATTTTTATGGAGATTCCCAAAAAAATGGGTTTACTTCATTCATTTAGTTGTTTTTATTTCTATCGGATGTTGACAACTGAGAGAACAAAGCGGATTAAAGGGCAAGAAGAGGGGAGGAAATCAAAACTCGGAAAGCAAGTTACATTCAAGGAGAATTGGGTTCGTAAGTTTGCAAGCATTCCTCGACAATAATATAAATTATCATCACAAAATATCTCAGAGTTCTAAAAAAATAATTGGTAATCGATGTTCTGTATGCTTGAGAGCCTCTTTCAAATTTGGTAAGACTACCTAATTTGAAACTGTTTTTACGTAGCCATAGCTAATGTCTCTTTACGTGATCAATTTATTATTTGAGATGAAAGCGTTGAAGTTACTTTAATTCTTGTGGGAATAGCCTATATCAATTTGCTTCAACATAGATTGAAGTTGTTTACACTCAACTTATTTTAAATTAATCTATTTCCCGAAGTGTTTTCCTTAAAATTACATTATTTTTTTAAAATTTTTGAATCATTGGTGCAGTCCTTTTCGTTTCAATTGGAATTTTGATTAACCAAAAACAAAATGAAAATTAAATTAAAAAATATTCGTTTTATATAAAGAAACCTAAAGTTATGGGTCTCTTTGGTAATTTAACTAAATTAAAAGGATTCGGATGTCAACATTAAATATCATCAGTATCCCTAGAAGTGGAAGCCAGTACCACTCCGCCGTCTTCGTTTATCGGCGCTCTCAAACCGCATCGGACAGCTCCCGACGGCTGCCCTAGATACTTGTGACCGGTAAGTCTCTCTCTCTCTCTCTCTCTCTCGCTTCACGCTTACATATATATATGTGTGTGTGTGTGTACATATATCTATAAATTTATTTTTTTTTGTCTCGCAATTGATCTCTCACTTCTCTTCCGTTTCGATTTCAACGATTCTTCTTTATTTGACGACTATTTGTGGTGGAATTTCACAACAATCTTTGCTTATTTTTTGGCAAATCATTTGATTTCTTATGACATATTTGTGCACATATAGTACATATGTGTGTGTGTGTTTATACATCATTTTTTCATGTGTTTTTCAGTTTGAGCAGTGAAATTGAGATTGAGAGGCGAAGGAGAAGAGAGAGAGGTATTTTGATGTCTCATCCGTAGAGAGGGTTGTGTGTGAGAGGGAGAGAGGGGAGGGGAGGGGAGGGGAGGGAAGGGAAATGTTAGTTTTATAAAGATAAAGATGGATGAATAAGTATTGGAAAAGAAGGTGAAATGAAACACTCAAGATTCTGTTCTTATTGCTCATAGTACATAAAGCCAAAAACGGACATGACTTTCATTATTTAGTTGTTTTGTTTTTATGAGAATACTTATAGTTCATTCCTGAGGATAAAACATTGTTAAAACATACTGGATCCGTCTGTGTCGGATTGAGTACCGACACAGACGGATCCTGTGTTGTTGGTGTCAATAGTATCATACTTTCATTTCCGGACATTTAAGCATCCTGAATCCATTCTTATGCGGTCTCACTTCGGTAGAAAACCCATAATCTCATCATGTACTGCAGAAATTTAAAAAAAAAAACTTGAAATTCTGTGATGTAGTTGCTCCCTATTTACATAACATGAAGATATCAATACAGTTTGATCTCCCATTTTTGGGTAGGATACCTCTGTAATTCTCTAGTGGTGAGTCTCGAGTTGCTTCTACATGCAACCTGTAACTTTTTGTGAACAGCTTCAATTATCTGGGGATTCTGGCCAGCATAGTTTTGACTGCATCAGTGGTAATCATTCGGACCTTGACTTGTGTGATCCATGGCTTATGTGACTGAGGTTTGAGGCAATCAGTAAGTAAATTTAGGAATAAAATAGGGTTTCTGATAGTCAATGATATAAAACCATCCTAAATTGTCTTTGACATATCATGCAGGTTGTAAGTGTTTTTTGAAGTGACAGTCCCTTCTCCTCGCTTGACCCTGCATATTTCAGAGTTCACTTCTGTTGAAGTTCAGAGTCCCTCAAGAACAGCCAAGATGTCTCGAAAAGGTCTGATGGAGCAGGATTTAAGCAAGCTGGATGTTGCGACACTACATCCACTTTCACTAGAAGTTATTTCTCGTCAGGCTACAATCAATATTGGTAATCTTATACTTACGAAATTCTTCAACTGCCTTCTTCTCACGTTGATCAACATAGTGGTGTTCATGATCTGAACTTAGGGTGTCTACTCAACATCTAGTTCTTGCCTTTTTAGATGTTANTTGGTAATCTTATACTTACGAAATTCTTCAACTGCCTTCTTCTCACGTTGATCAACAAAGTGGTGTTCATGATCTGAACTTAGGGTGTCTACTCAACATCTAGTTCTTGCCTTTTTAGATGTTATAATATTAGTATTGAATCAAATGAATGAAACTGAGATTTTTCCCTCAGGCACAATTGGTCATGTGGCACACGGGAAGTCAACCGTTGTAAAAGCCATATCTGGTGTTCAGGTGATCACTTTCTCTTTTTTCTTCTCTGCAGTTTGGTTGCCTATAATTCAATGGTTACAGCCGAGTGTGGGATGACAGTCCACCTATTCTGGAAATAGTTTACTTAACACACGACCCTATTCTTTTTTTTTTCTTCCCATTTGCATATTCTTTCTCATTAATAGTCAGCTTAAAAACATGACGTTAACTCGNTCTTTTTTTTTTTCTTCCCATTTGCATATTCTTTCTCATTAATAGTCAGCTTAAAAACATGACGTTAACTCAGGTTTAAAATGTGTGTCACTTCTTAGTTATTATCAATTGGTTATTCTGGTGTAGGCTAGATATTTTCTTGTTAAGAGTTGATATAAGTAAACTTGATTAGTAGTTGATATCCAAAAATATGATTATCACCTCAGGTTTAAATTATTGTCTTATTTGTTGGTATTAATTGGTTATTCTATTTGAGTTTTTGATGCATTCAAAATTCCAGGTACGTGTCTGAATGCCATTGGTTGCATAATGCATATTATTGGGGAAAATAAGTTTTGAGAGATGATATATCTCTGGAAGTTGTATGAGTATTTGCCCCATGTGGATTCATGTTTCACATCCTCGAGCCTAATAGGTATACCTTTGTGGTTGTTAGTAGGAGCAAACTTGCTTTTACTAGGGGCTACCACTAGTTGGATGCTTAGTGATTCTGATAAAGGGGAAACCTTTGCTTACACGAGACCTTTGAATCTAGGAAAGAACATGTACTGATTAGGGCGGTGCATGCATCTAGGAAGATTATTTCTATCTTTTAGCATAGTTATTTTGGAGGGGGGTTTGTTTTTTCGAGATCAGAATTTTTAACCTGTGATTGTTCGTAGGTCTATGCTGGCTATCAACATGTACGAGCATGTATCATCTGTTTCTTTTAACTCTTGAGAATATAGTTTTTTATCCATCTTTGCTCTACTTATTGTTCTTGATAAAGGTGGAGTGCTCTTGCACGTTGACTTCATGTATAAGAATGATACATCTGGCAAGATGATATCTAAGCAAAGTAATTTTCCAATTTTTTGGTACATTGAAATAAAACATAACACAACACTACAATTTGTCATTTATCTGCAGACTGTTCGTTTTAAAAATGAGTTGGAACGCAACATTACTATTAAGCTTGGATATGCCAATGCAAAGATATACAAATGTGAAGATGAAAAGTGCCCTCGACCCATGTGCTACAAGTATGTTGTAAATTTTTTTGGTCCTAAAGTAATTTGTTATTTATGGAATGCAATTGCCATAGTACTTCATTTTTGGTATCTCATTTTCAAGTCCTTTATTTGGGTGCAGGGCATATGGTAGTGGAAAGGAAGATAGTCCTTTGTGCGATGTGCCTGGATTTGAGAACTGCAGGATGAAATTGCTGAGACATGTATCATTTGTTGATTGCCCGGTAAGGTGTTTGAGTGTTGGTCCAGAGAAATACCATAAGAGAAAAAAAGAAAGCTGTTACTCTTTCAGAAATTCTATTCTATTTAGGTCGTTTATAATTGGCAGTATATGTTTTAAGTTACTTACCCTATCCATTATATGCGCATTCCGACTTCCATAAATGCATGCATGTAGGTGTAAGTTATTAGTTTTCTTTATAGCTAGGTGAGATTCATGTAGCTAACCCCAAAATAGTTGGGATAAGGCTTTGTTGAGTCGTATTTTAGATTTCATGATAGATGGCCGTCCTCTGAAGTCCATCTATGTTGCATTCTTTTAGTCTTGCCAAACTGCACTTACCAATTAATAGAAAACCAAAGCTATTTGACACCCATGGCACACATGAAGAAAGTCTTTTAGCTGAAGATGGCATGCACAACGTTTGCTTTTCAATCTCCAGGGCCATCAGAACGCACTTTTTCTCTTGTTAGGCATCTAATACTGCTGAAATACCAAATGGAATAGAAAAACAAGGAAGGCAACACTAAAAGTTCCCTGGATTATCGGCAAAAGTCAACTAAATTAACATCACAGAGGGAAATCTTACTGGTGGCACACACTTTTTTAAAAAACAGTGTGGTAATACACTTAACACTTCCAAAAACCTTTCTAAATTAACTAATCTCAAACACATCAACATATGAAGCATCACATATTGCTTATTCATACTTCAACAACAAACAACTATTCATTGGCAAGAATAACTAACAACTATTCATACTTCAACAACAACTAACAACATTGCTTATTCATACTTCAACAACAAACAACTATTCATATTCTTGTCGAAACTGGAGTGGTCTTCTGTGATGCTTTGTAATCAACCTGGTTTAAGCTGCTAGGTTGTATGTGTACATGTTCGGCTGTGCTTATGCCTGTTTGCTTGTATGTATTGAGTAACAGTAATTAAGGGCTTGTATGTCCATTATTGGCATTGTCTTATATGTTAATCCGGTGTGGTTGTTCAGACATTTTGTGAGATTCTAGATTGTCATTTAATGGCATTTGTTGCCCCTGCTTTTATGCCATACAGCTCTTGGCATGCTTATTTGATGCCTTGTGTCTATACTCTCTCTCTATATATATANAAGGGCTTGTATGTCCATTATTGGCATTGTCTTATATGTTAATCCGGTGTGGTTGTTGAGACATTTTGTGAGATTCTAGATTGTCATTTAATGGCATTTGTTGCCCCTGCTTTTATGCCATACAGCTCTTGGCACGCTTATTTGATGCCTTGTGTCTATACTCTCTCTCTCTATATATATGTGTGTGTGTGTGTGTGCGTGTGTTTGTGTGTGTGTGTATGTATATGTATCTATATATGTGTGTGTTTGTGTGTATATATATTTATATGTATCTATATATGTATACACACACACACACACATATATTTTGCAAATACATTTTATCTTACCTTTTTGGAAATAGTGAACCTCAACTATTCTTGTAAACCGGGTGCTCCGAGGCCATATCAATTTCCTATAGTAGTATGCTCCTTTTTCCTACATCTGNACACACACACACACACATATATTTTGCAAATACATTTTATCTTACCTTTTTGGAAATAGTGAACCTCAACTATTCTTGTAATCTGGGTGCTCCGAGGCCATATCAATTTCCTATAGTAGTATGCTCCTTTTTCCTACATCTGAGCTTCATTTTTTGGCTTCCTTAGTCTTAAAGCCTTGTGATGTATTCAACTTTAACAAACTGCTCATTGTCCTCCTCCGGGTTTTGATTGTCAGTCTCCAATGGACATTATAAGATCACCCTGGATGACTTTTTCCTATTGTGCTCAAATGATGCTGCCTCTAGCTGTTTAGAAGTGCATTTGTGTTTTTAATCTTTCTGTACTTGTCTTGCTGCTAATGAATCTCAATCATTTCAGCTGTAGTTTTAATATTTTTT